CTACCAGAGCTCCTAAGAAACAGGAGGCAAAGTAAACTTCTAAAGATTATAAAGACTCAATGAAGTAATATAAACTTGTCATGTTGTTGTCATTAGATGCCATTGAGTTTAGACTCAGAGTGACCCCATGTGACACAGTAGAACTATACAATAGTTTTCTAGGCTATAATCTTTATGGGAGCAAATCACCAAGTCTTTCCCATATAGAGCCTGTGAACTCTGGAGTCTGTGAACCCCAAGTTAAGAATTTGGCAATTTCTGGTTAAATAGAAGATATAGTCCAGCAATTCTGCCTCTGAGTATGTATTCTAGAGTCACTTTCATATGTGTCCAGGGAAACATAAACATTGTTAATTATAGCATTGTTTGTAAGGACAAAAACTTGAGCCGCTGGGTAGGTTCAAACTGCCAACCTTTCAGTTAGCAGCCAAACACTTAATCATTGTGCCACCAGGGCACCTTAATAAACAAATATATAACTAAAATACATAGTACATCAAATTATATTGAGAACCATGGAAAAAAATGTAACCGAGTGTCCCAGTTTAGGGATAAAACCTGTTGCTATCCAGTCGATTCCAACTCATAAACTTGTCATAAACTTGTCAAATCATTGCAACCAGAAATGAGATAGGACAATTTTCAGACACCATTCCCTGGAGTGATTTTTCAGTGCCTTTCATATGATTAACTCTGTGCTGAAGATTTGTTTCCATTTAGTCGTTCACTAACTCCCTTGTAAAACGGAGGCTGTACCAAAGAAAGCTGTTCTTGTTTAGGTTTGTCCTTATAAAGAGTGTGTGAGAATTTTAGTTCTGGCCGTTCCCACTTCATGAACAGTATTCAGCTTTGAAGTTAGTTGGCTTTCTTTGATCATCAATTAGAATATGAAAATGGTCCATCATGATGAAATAATTAATATCACAATAGTGTCTGCAGCCTGAAATAACTTAAAACAATAGTTTTTTCTTCTTTGCCAACTAGGAAGTCTTCCCAAGAAATTGAAACTATCGTATTCATATATTTTGGACTGTTCAGTAAAGGTTTTGATACTTTATTGGCACACTGAAAAACATACTATCAGAGAACATCAAAGTCTATGTATACCTTAGAGTTAAGAACATGGGCTCTGGAGTCAGACTGCCTCAATTTCTTTTTAACAAGGGCATTATAATAGGGCCTCCTTCGTGGGGTTATTGTGAGAAATGAGTGAGAGCGGTATAAAAAGTGCTCAGCCCTGTGCCTGGTGCCCGCCACAGAGTACTCCCTGTGTTAGCTCAGTGTTGGCCCGGGGGGGGGGGGGTTGTACATCCTGGTGTCCTAGGCTTTCTGGTGATGGTGAGATGTGTTCAACATCCTGGGTATAGCAGAGATCCATTCCAACCACAGTAAACTTAACCTCCTGGGAAAGAGCTAGGAGCATTGATGAACTCATCATCTCACCACACCCTGCTCGTGTTCACCAGTTCCCTAACAACCCTGATTTTCCTAAAATGTAAAGAATAAAGGAACATAAGAGTACCCAGGAATCAGCCCCGACTCATAGCGACCCCTCCTTGGGTTTCCGAGGCAGTATCACTACGGAAGTAGGATTGCCCAACCAGAGTACCCAGGAATTGTTGGAACCACAGCCAGAGAGCTAGGCTATATCCTCCACCCACTGCTACCTTTAAACTCTATGTTGAGTCCCACTCTGACTTTGATGAAAATCAGATGGCTATTTTGAGTCCTTTGAGATCTAAACCCAATAAATTATCAATCTTTAGATTTCACTTTCTAAATAGTTTTATTTGAAATCACATATTTCTTAATAACTTTTCTGTGGCAGTGGTTCTTAATTTTGGGGCGGGTGTGTACGGGGGTCAGTGCACAAAAGACCTCTTAGAGAATCTGATGAAATCTGAGACTCACCTAGAAAAATGCACATAACTCACACACCAAATATTTTGTCCATAATGCAAGTAGTCTCAGACTTGCTAAAACACCTCAATAGATGTGGGTCTGTGAACTGCAAGTTAAGAATTTGGCATTTTCTAGTGAAATAGAAGATATGGTCCAGCACTTACACATCTGAGTATGTATTCTAGAGTCACTTTCATATGTGTCCAGGGAAACATAAATGTTAATTATAGCATGGTTTGTAAGAACAATAACTTGAGGATAATGTATATGTCTATCCACTGGAGAATTACAAAGATAAACTGGACTACTATGTAGCAGTTAAAAATAAATGAATTAGATCTGTATGTATTAACTTAGTTACATTTCAAAAGCATAAAAAGTAATTTCTAGACTGATATGTACAGTGTGATACCATTTAAATAAAGTTTTAAAAACTGTAAAACATTGTTATTTATAGGTATAAAATGTATATTAAAAGAATTAAAATATATACTGCATGAAAATGATAAAAAGAAATTCATGATAATGGTCATTTCTGACAATGGAATTAGGGAAGACTGCATAGTGATCCCCAATCCTATCTATTTCTTATTTCTTTTCTTTTTTTTTTTTTTTTTTGTCTTTATTTCTGACGTCAATACTAGATTTATAATTTTATTGCAGTAACAAGCAGCTGTTATAGTGAGAGCTACACACATATACAGATTATATTTAAATTCATATAAAACAATATTTATATTCTATTTTTTATTTCTTAAAAGAAAAAAGTCTGAAGCAAATATACTAATCTGTATGTTTGAAATATCTCATGATTTTATAAAATATTTTAAGACTCTTTGATGAATGAAATAATAGTATCTCCCTCTTCCCTACTTCTGAATACTTATCCTCAGATGACAAGTTATATGCAGCCTTCAATGCTTTTGAAGATGAATCAACCTGCTGGACCTATCACGAAGGCCTCCTGTCAATGAAAGTAACAAGAAAAGGAGCTGTCATTTGTACACTCGATGCTGATTGGCTAGAGTTAACTACATTTTATTATAAGCAAGGCTTGTCTTTAATTGATTCTTTCATATGCTGGGAAACATCTAAAGGTAGGTTTTTAGTATGATATATTTATATATAAAGAATTTGGACTGTAATGGAATCTGTAAAAAATGTGTTTGCCTCTCATGTCCTATGGCTAAAAGGAGAAAATTATTCCTAAGGATATAGGTCCCAATTATTACACAGCTGTATAATTTTAATTTCAGCATTTAACCAGCCTTGACAGCAAATGGACTCCCAGTGTTTGTGATGGAATTGTCATGTAATGTTTAGCATTGGATTGTAACTGTCAAGAATAGACAACCACTATGTGATCAACTAGGAGCTCTGATAGCATAGTGTCTAAGGCATTTGACTGCTAACCAGAAGGTTGGCAGTTCAAACCCACCAGCCACTCCTTGGGAGGAAGGTTTGGCAATCTACTTCCATAGTGATACCGCCTCAGAAACCCAAGGAGGGCTCGCTATGAGTCAGGTCTGACTTGACGGCATGTAACAACAATAACATGTGATCAACTAGTAGACTTTTCCAAATAAGATGTATTATAACAGCTGATGATGGCATATACCAGTTAATGTCCAAATGTATTATATTATCCCAATTTTGGACACTATCTACTATTCTTAGCACATAGTAGTTGCTCAATAAATATTTCTTGGTCTTTTTTAGCAATTGGAGACATCTTCCAACTTACTCTTTTATGGAATTAGGAATAGGAAGAACATGAATTTTATAAACAGACAGACCAGGGTTTAAATCTCATACCCTCCATTGATTAGTTGCATGGTATTGGGAAGTTAGCTGAGTTCACTGAACCTCAGTTTCTTTAACTCTAAAAGGGGGATTAAAATACTAACCACTTAATTGTTGTGAGAATGTAATGAGATAGTATATAAAGTATTATAGTGAAATGTAAAAGAACTGCAGTTAGAAAACCAAAGGGAAGAACCTGCTTGACATTTCTGAAGCTGACAAAACTGAAGCAAAAATGAAAGCCTTGAGTTGCAATGTTGAAAGATTCTACAGGCAGAATACTGAACAATGCAGGAAGCTTCAAAAGAAGATGGAAGGAATATATGGAATTGCTGTACCAAAAATAATTGGTTGACATTCACCCATTTCAGGAGATAGCATATGATTAGGAACCAAGGATGTTGAAGGAAGAAGCCCAAGCTGCACTGAAGACATTGGCCAAAAACAGGGCTTCAGGAATTGATGGAATAACAATTGAGGTGTTTCAACAAATTGATGCTACCCTGGAAGCACCCACTCATCTATGCCAAGAAATTTGGAAGACAGCTACCTGGTCAACTAACCGGAAGACATCCATATTTGTGCCCATCCCAAAGAAAGGCGATCCAACAGTATGCAAAAGTTATTGAACAATATCATTAATATCATATGCAAGTAGAATTTTGCTGAAAATAATTTAAAAATTATTTCATCAGTACATAGGCGGGGAACTGCCAGAAATTCAAGCCAGATTCAGACGAGGATGTGGAATGAGCAGTATCATTGCTGATGTCATACGGATCTTGCCTGAAAGTAGAGAATACCAGAAAGGTGTTTACCTGTGTTTTATTGCCTATGCAAAGGCATTTGACTGTGTGGATCATAACAAATGATGGATAACATTGTAAAGAATAGGAATTCCAGAACACTGAATTGTGCTCATAAGGAACCTGTACATAGGTTAAGAGGCTGTCATTTGTACATAAAAAAGGAATACTCAAAAAAAAAAAAACACAGATTCACTGCCGTCAAGTCAATTCTGACTCATAGTGAGCGCCATTGGGTTTCCGAGGTCTTCTTTACAGAAGTAGATTGCCCAGTCTTCCTTCCATGGAGTGGCTGGTGGATTTGAACTGCCAACCTTCTGGTTAGCAGTCTGATGCCTTAGGCACTGTGCTACCAGAGCTCCCAAGGGAATACTACATGGTTTAAAATTAGGAAAAGTATGAATCAAGGTTATATCCTTTCACCATACTTAATTCAATCTATATGCTGAGGAAATAATCCAAGAAGCGGGACTCTATGGAAAACAACAGGGGATCAGGATTGGAGGAAGACTCATTAACAACATGTGATATGCAAATGACACAGCTTTCCTTACTGAAAGTGAAGAAGACTTGAAGCATTTTCTGATGAAGATCAAGAACTGCAGCCTTCAGTGTGGATTACACCTCAACATAAAACAAAAAAATCCTCACAACTGGACCAATAAGGAACATGATGATAAGGAGAGAAAAGATTGAAGCTGTCAAGAATTTCATTTTACTTGGATCCACAACCGACACCCATGGAAGCAGCAGTCCAGAAATCAAACAACATACTGTACTGGGCAAATCTGCTGCAAAAGATCTCTTTAAGTATTAAAGAGCAAAGATGTATGTCACTTTGAAGACTAAGGTACACCTGACCCAAGTCACCTCATATGCATGTGAAAGTGTTAATGCAGTCCCTGAGACCCTGAGCAGGGGTCCTTGCCTTCTGTTGACAAAGAATTAAACAGAAGAGGCAAAATGTCCACACGAACCAGAGAAAAGAGAGGGGAGGGGCTAGCAAGAAAGAAAGCGGGGTTTTCACCTACGCTAACCTCTGGTTTCTCCCCAATAAAGGATTTCCTAGGGTTTATAAAGGGTTTTGGGGGGAGTGGGAGGCATCCTCTTTATTGATAAAATGGGCGGGGGTTTGTGAGAAAAAGGTGGAGTTATAACAATCAGGTGTGCACACAGAAGTAGCCAATATAGATTCCATTGCAAAGGCTATCAAAACAAAGATGGAACCTGTCACAAAGGCTGCTGGGCTCATGCATGATGTTTCCGTTTCCTGCTTTGAGTCACAGCAAGGGATTCCTGTTCTTGACTATTTCTGATGGAAGATCATTTTGTTGGTCAAGTTGAATTTTACTGTACATGCTCAGCACCTCCCCAGGTACTTGAAGGACAACTCAGGAAGTTTTATGAGCATTTTACAATGGTCAAGCTTGTGAGGCTTTTGAAAAGTAACTTATTTTGCTCAAGGGCCTGGTTTGTTAATGGTAAGCAGTTCTCTGTCCCCTGAAGCTATGTGGTAGTTCTGAGTCAGGCTGCTTGATTCAGCCAGTTCAATTCCCTACCTGTCACAAAAGCCATGCAATGCATGAATAAGGGTGACTGAAGAATTGGTACATTTGAATTATGGTGTTTGCAAAAAATACTGAATATACCATGGGCTGCCAGAAGAACAAATGAATCTATCTTGGATGAAGTACATCCAGAATGTTCCTTAGAAGCAATGATGGCAAGACTTCACCTCTCATACTTTGGTCATGTCAGGAGGGACTTCCTGGAGAAGAATATCATGCTTGATAAATTAGAGGGTCATCGAAAAAGGGGAAGACTTGCAATAAAATGGATTGACACAGTGGCTGCAACAGTGAGCTCAGCCTAACAGTTGTGACAATGGCACAGGACCGGGCGATGGTTCATTGTGTTGTGTGATCACGACGAGTGGAACCAACTCCAGGGCACACGAGAACCACTTGTGTCAAGCGACTCTCACAGTGCCCGGCATACTCTTGAAGTTTATTAAATGTTAGTTCTCTTTCCTGCCCCTTGTTATGTGCTGTTCCAGTTCTTTTAGTATGAATTCTCACTTGGAGTTCAGTTTATGCTTCATAATATTTCTCTCTTTCACCCTCTCTTTCTCTTCCTCGCTAAAGAACCTTAAGTTGGAGCCATTTCAAATTTTGGTTTGTGACTAACTGTTGAAGGAAAAGCAAAAAAAAAATGCTCCTTTCATAGTCTCTTTCAGGCATTTCTGCCTTGGGCTTTGCCTGATGAAAATAAAATTAGCCTCAGCAGTTGCCAGCCAGAGGCTCTGTGGGGCTTTTGTTCTTAAAGCCTCAGAAGCTATTTTGAGAGCCTGGGGGTGACTCTCCCCGTCTCAGCCACTATGGAATGTCTCATTAGACATTTTACATTGCAGGCTACGCCAAACCCTAATGAGCCTCTTTAGTCTGTACAGTCTGGCAAATGGGTGTGTCATCAGGGACTTTCCCGGGAGTACACAGGGCAGCTGGAGAGAGGAAATGGTGAGCAGTGCCTGTGTCACTGTGAGAAGCAAGTCAGAGGAAGCAGGGCTGAGCTGGGTGACTTTGTTCTGTGATGTCTGATGCCTAACATCTAAAGCACAAGGGGACAATGCCTATTTTGTTTTTCTTGCTTCTGTCCTCTTCCAAAATATTGTCAGCAGTCAGTCCATCACGAGAAATGGAAGCACAAAACCAGACATTGCTCGAGATGTAAATGTAATACTCAACAAATCTCACTGAAATAAAATACCTTCCTCCAGAAACAGAGAGAGAAAGAAACTTTTTAAATGCATGGGTTGTGTTTATGTTTGTGTGTGTGTGTGTCTTGTTTTATTTTTTTACTTCAGAAGGGCCAGGGTGGAAAAGATGTAAGGTCTGTGAAACACCTCTCCAACCCCCTTCGACACCTATTCTCAACAGCCTTGTTCTGCTTTCAAAAGCCCTGCAGGCGAGACACCCAGTGGTCCTCTTGCTGTTCTTGCAGCCTGAGGGTTGTTACCACAGTGGCCTCCCTGCACTTAATATTTCGGTTGGGTCTCCACCACACCAACATTTAGCTGAATTCACTGTGTACTTAAATGGGGCTTGTGGGGTAAAAATGTAGCCTGGAGAGCCTACAAGAAGCTTACACAACTGAGATGGCCAAAAGAGAGCATTTTATTATTTTTATTATGACAGATCCTATGGAGGTGGAGCAGAGCAGCTAGCTGGTATGGATGAGATGAGTAGCTTTGCCATGTGCACCCACACACCGTGTCTCTCTCTCTCTCTCTCTCTCTCTTCCCTTCCCCCCGTCCATCTGCCCCCTCCTTTTTTCCTCCCTCCCTCTCTCTTCCCTTCCTCTCTCCCTCCCTCTCCTTCTCTCTTCCCCTATCAGCTGCAGGGAGTAATAGTCTCTCCCCACCTTAAATGTACCTCTTAAGACTACCTTTTTTTTTATTTTTTATTAATTCTTTTCATATTTCACTTGATATTCATTTCAAGCTGTTCATGTCTATAAAAATGTTGTGTGCAATTGGGAGAAGAAAGGTATAAGAGGGAGGAATGGGTTGGAGTAATGACATTAAATATGTGTTTATTCATTTCATATATATGTATGTGCCAGGCACTGGGTTTACAATGATGAGCAAAATGCATGTCTTCTTATCTTCAAGGAACTAGCCATGTGGCATCAGAGTCAGACAGTAACAGGTATCAAAACTTACATGCCTAATTTCAAAATTGAGGAAAAGTAGTGTGAAGTTACCCAACAGTGTATCGTGATAGAGAACAGGGAAGACCTCTCTAGAAGGTGCTCAGCAAGTTCCAAAAAGTAACAATGACACTGAGGCAGCTGGGAAGGGGACCCAGCAGGCAAGAGTGAGAGACCATTCTAGGCCACACTGCCAAATGTACAAAGACCTTAGAGCAGAAACAGGAGCAGGGGAAAGTCTGTGTCCCTAGAGCAGGGTATGCAAGAGAAGATGGCTGTAGACAAGGTGGGAGAGGTAAAAGGATGGATCTAGACAGGGCGGGAGAGGTAAGCAGCAGCCAACTCCATGCAGAGTCTAACATTAATAACAGTAATAGCTAACATGCATTTTGCACTTAACATATACCAGTATTGTTCTAAACACTTTACATTTATTAACTCATTTGACCCCACAGCAACCCTAAGAAGTAGGTATGATTATTCTCTTTAATAATCATGAAGGAATTGAAGCAATGAGAAATTACATAATTTGCCCACATTCACACAGAAAGTAATGGGTACGGTGTGTGCTATAAACCCATTTGCCATTCTGCCAGGATTTTAATTCCAAGTCATTCAGGAGTCATGACCTGACTTGTATTTCCATTTGGCCTCATTTTGGGAAATGGACCATAAAAGACAAGAGCAGACACCAGGAGACTGTTAGGAGGCTGTTGCAGTGGTCCTTAAGAGAAATAATAATGGAGATGGAGGTGAGGCTGGAGAGAAGTAGGCAGGCTGATTTGTTTTGGATTGTACGTGTTAACAGATGCAGAATGGTAGTTCCGGTAGGTGCCTGTTCTCCACTTCTCAGAAATGGTCCTGGGCCCAACTTTGACAGTTTAATGCCAAAAATGACACATGGTCAGTAGTAGTTAAGTTTGTGTGTCAACTTGGCTGGGCCTGGTTGAGTGGCTGGGCTGCTGGTGGTAATGAGACTGGTCATCAACTCCATGGTAGAATCTACCATGAGCAGCTGAGTAGCTGCCTTAGGGATGTGGTCTGCTTTCTACATCTAAGGACAAGCCTTGGAGAACGGTCTCTAGCCTATGGCACTCTTGAACTCCGCATGTAGCCGTGTCGTTGTTCACCAGTCTGACATGCTCTGCCAACCTTGGGACTTTCAAGAGACTTGAATTAATGGCCTGCTGTGTGGTTTGGTGACATCAGGACTGTGCCTTTTTACTTGTCAGTCTTGGGTTTGTCAGCTTCAGCAGCCAGCAGCTGAGTGAAGAAAAGCCTCCAGCTTCAGTGGGCCGGGAGCAGGAGGCAGAGCTGCAACCCAAGGTTGAAGGGCTTTCACTCAGCCCCTAGAGCCTGGCACTTTGAACTTGGACTTAAAGCCTCCAAATTGTAAGAATAAACTCCTGTTTGTTAAAGCCATTCCATTTGTGGTATATTATGTCAGAGCAACACTCGGTAACCAGAACATGGCCCAAAAATATTAAAATGGAACATTATCTTTCCTCACAATGCAGAATGTCAATGTCATATCTAGCCAAAATGAATATGTAAGATAACAAATCCAGACAAGGACACAATTTCCTGGGAATTCTTTAAGCTTGTGCATCTCAAACCAGGGTTCAAGTACCCTAGGGGTATGCAGGCAATGTCAGGGAGTACACAAAGTCACAGGATAAATCTTCCGGGAGTATCAATATACTTCAAGATGTGTTATGCAGAGGAAGGGGCACATCATTTTTCTACATAAGATATTTGAAAAGAATACAAAGTTTGCATGGATTTTTAAGATATATCATTGTATTTTTAAGATGTAGCATTAGACTTCAAAGAAACCTCTTGCCCTGAATTGCTTCAAACTGCACCTGAAGAGGGAGCTCTGGTGGCATAGTGTCTAAGGCACTTGACTGCTAACCAGAAGGCTAGGGTTCAAACCCACCAGCCACTCCTTGGAAGGAAGGTTGGGCAATCTACTTCCGTAATGACACCGCTTCAGAAACCAAGGAGGGGTCTCTATGAGCCGGGTCCAACTGACAGCAGTGGGTTGCGTTGGTTACATTGCTCCTGGAGAGTATCTTTCAAGGATACAAGTGCACTCTCCTTTGCTACTGGTTGTATTTAGTTTTAAAAAATATATTTTTGAGGAGCAAAATATATGGCTTTGAGGGTTAAGCTAGTGCTTTGTCACTTTTTCATATCATGTCACATAGAAAATGATCATTTGTAGGACACACTGGTATAAGGTGGATAAAGCTGCTCTGGGAAGGAAGGAGCATGTCTTCATGTCTTGGCACACTTGTAACCCATTCTCAGTACATCAGTGGGTCAAGGCACATACATTGGGGAAGCTCTGAGTTATGTAACATGATGAGGGGATTTAGCTGGGGGACGGTTATGTTATAAAGCAATTGCTCAGAAGGACTACTGCTTTTAACTGAAGCATAACATATACATACTAAAGTACATTAATCTTATGTGTACATTGATGAATAGAACACAAATGTTCAAATATAGAATATTTCCAGCATCCCAGAAGGTCTCCTTTCTCAGTAAATCCCTATCACAAAGATAAGCACTATTCTGACTTCTATCACCATAGATTAGTTTTTGCCTGCCCTTAAATAGGTTGAATTATACAGTATGCACCCTTTCTGTCTGATTTCTTTTGTTCAACATTGTTGTTGTTGTTATTTACCATCGAGTCGGACCCGACTCACAGCAACCCCTCCTTGGGTTTCTGAGGTGGTATCACTACAGAAGTAGATTGCCCAACTTTCCTTCCAAGGAGTGGCTGGTGGGTTTGAACCACCAGCCTTCTGGTTAGCAGTCCAGTGCTTTAGGTACTACGCTGTTCAACATGGTATCTCTGGAATCCATTCAAGTTGTTGCACGTAGCAGTGAGTCTTTTTTATTCTTATATAGAACTCTACTGTACAATTCTGCCACACTTTCATTCTTATAAATCAAAACATGTTTAGAAGTACTAAGGAATCCCAGTGATGAAGACATGAAAACAGACACAGAGCCACAAAGCCCATCATCTTCACATTATATAATCCCAAGTAAATAAAATGGAGATTATAATTAACTACATAATTATCATAGTATATAATTATTTTTAAACTTCATTATTTCCCATTCAAAAATTGGACTTGAGACATATTCAGTTTTGAAAACAGTTTAGTAATGTCCTAAACTTACAATGAGAAACAGATTTGATTGACTTTGGTGTAGCATTGGACATCAAGTACATTAAAGGAAATGGGATGTAATACATATTTAGAAATCCAATTCCAACTAGTAAATCAAACCTGACTGGGTTCTTGATAACCACTATTCACAGTGTAAACTCTTCCGGGTATTCAGCCCTGACCATGAGTGATATAAAAAGAAATATGTATTTTTTTTTTCTCTTAAAGTTTATGGTAAGGTTTTAATACAACCTTATATTGAAACTTAAATTGAAATGACTTTTGTCCTTTTCATCTTTAAGCTTAAGGGATCATTTGAAAACTTTGTAGGCCTTTGTTATTTAGAGAACAGCCAACCAGGAAAACTTTGATGTGACATGTGCTGTGTGAAAACCAAGATGTTTAATGAGCACATGACCATGGAAAAGCTGTCTACTATTGCAAAGTAGGAAACAAAAGAACTTCCATAGGCTAGGTTTCGTTTGGGCCAGCTGGTTATTGTCAGCCCTTCAAGAAAGAAGTCAGAGAGGCCCTCCCTTCAAACTTCCTTCCCAGCAGGCATTCTTTGGACAATGACTTCTGTTTAGGGTCTTCCTGTCACCATTTTTTTTTTTTTTAAAGCATCATTGAAGTAAAAAGTTGTTTTGTGTTTATTTATTTGAAATAATCTTACCTCATCTTAATTTTAATATCATACCTCTCATTTCAAGAACTAGCATTTTTTATGCTGTTTCCCTTAGTGGTATAATTGTGTACATAATATATACAGATCAGAAACTAAAATCTGATTTCAAGGTGAAGGTCATTTCCAGATGTTTGTGAGGTTTCGGAAATCCACTCACTTCTCACTGTTTGTTTCATGTTTTTAATCTTGTTTTTGTTATTCTAGTTTTCATGTTTATGATTTGTTTTTAATTCAGTGCAGCTGTTTTGACCTTTGCAAAAAATAAAGTTAACCTTCAAAGAAGAGGATGTTACTGATTCAGCCCAAACAAGTGTTTATTAATTGATGTTTTTCTTTCCACTTCCTACTAGTGTTATTTAAGGATTTATGTGGTTTTAAAAGACACTAAGTATTTACAACTTTTCTTAATTATATCCTTTCCTCACAGCGGACCATTTGCCCAAATCTTTGGAAGGGTTATTTATCTATGAAGAAGAAGATTCTGGAGTTCCAGGCTCTAGTAAGAAAGGAAACGATGCCATCGTAGTAGAACAATGGACCATTATTGAGGTGAATGGCAATTTTCTTACAATTTAGCTTTATTTTTATTTTCCGTTTTATATATTAAAGATCTCCATTGCCAAGCATATGCAGTATCCTTAGACACATTTGTTCAGTATTTGGAATTTTATCACATAGGCATGAGCAAACCTCAGTTTGTGGAAGGGAAGTTTGCTTTACTCAATGATAAACTTTTTGATAAGATAGCAAAATAGTTATCTGTACAGAAATAGCAGTAGATTTTCAAAGGTTTGGCATTCTGGCCTTGAACAAAGTCTCCTGGCACCAAGAGTATTTTTACCCAATGTCATAACAACTAGTTAAAATGGAAAAAAAAAAAAAAAAAAACTCAGTCTATTAGCTAGTGTTTTATCTCCAAGCAAACAATGTGACTGATTTTTTCCCCCCCTTGAGAACTGACTTTCAAAGGCAAAAATATCCAAAAGATGTTCTCTCTTTTGCCAGGCAAGTACGTACACACAGCATTGTCCTTCGTAATCAGAGGTGGCACTGCTGCTGATGCTGTGCTCTCTGAATTCAGATGTCACCGAACGGACTGACCTAGAGGTGAACAGACTGAATTCAGGTATACTGTTGTGTGAATGAGGCCCTCACCCACAGCATCTGTAAGGGACACTTCTGCCTTTCTTGCCTTACAAAGATTAGAGAGACATCACCCATTTTCAAAGGAACTAGCCAAGTCTTTGAGAGCAAAAAGAAAAAAGAATTTGAGAGAAAGTAGTAGTTGTTGTTTTGTGTCGTCAAGTCGGACCTGGCTCATAGCGACCCCTCCTTGGATTTCCAAGGCAGTATCACTGCAGAAGGAGATTGCCCAACCTTCCTTCCGAGGAGTGGCTGATGGGTTTGAACTGCCAGCCTTCTGGTGAGCAGTCATGTGCCTTAGGCACTACACTATCAGAGCTCCCAAGAGAAGGTAGAGCTCCAAGTAAAAATCTTCAACTGCAAATGAATAAAAGCTGTGAAAAGACTTTTTGCATCTAAGCATCTCTCACCTTCACTACCCGACTAGAATTCCCTACTCTCATCTTCTCTTCTCAAACCTGTGTTTCTTAAAGTGCCAACTATAAACTACTTGGATCCAAACCACCAGGGGAGCTCTTTTTAAAAAAAAAAAATTCAGATTCCTAGGCCCCCATATTAACGTTTAAGAACTACTGCCCTAACAAGACGTGAGGAAGGCCCAGACTTGGGACAACCTCTCTCCACTCGGATCCTCAGTGTTGCTAATTCAACTTGGTTGTTAGAAGGTAACTAGCAGCAGAAAATGAAGCCCAGGAGGACTGCAGCCAGGCAAAACTGTATTTAATGGGGAGTGAACTCCCCTTATTGTTACACCCGTCACCCTTTATTGTAACTTCTTGTGTACATGGTTGTCTTTGCCGTTAGACTATGAGCTCTTATGCTTACTCACGCAGGGCTGTGAAATCAAAACGGATTATGGGCCTCTGCTGCACACTCTGGCTGAGTTCGGATGGCTTCTGACAAGTGTGTTGCCTACACCTGTATTGAGACATGACAGGTAATGTGAACATATCCTTACATACTTTCATTTAATTCTAAAATATAAATTTGTTAGGTAATTCAATTTAACACATGCTCATTTAATGTCTGCAGAAAGCATTTCACTGCACTTCTAATCTGATTTCATGGACCTTGGAGATTAGCAAATCCAATCCCCTGACATTATAGATGTTCAAGTTGTCAAGTTATGTTCCCACGGGCATCAGAATTCATGGTGGCAGAGCCAGAGAGAGAGAACAGGAGGCAGGTTCCAGTGGAGAACTGTTTCTAGTACTCTGAACACTGCTTCTCTAACCACATATGGCATCATTGCATCTTTTTGCTTCCCTCTCAAGATACTGGTTCTCCCTGCAGTGAAGACTGCCTCCATTTTATTTTGAAAATTGAAGATGCAGCTCTTGTAGGACTCTATCCTGCTCTACTGCACTGCATGAACTGACTTTGCCTAGCACACAAACAGGTTTAGGTTTTGGACTTCAGTCGGGACCTAGAGAGAGCTCTGGTGGCCCAATATTTAAAGCATTCAGCTGCTAACCAAACAGTCAACCACTGGAACCCACCAGCCACTACATGGGAGAAAGATGAGGCAGTCTGCTTCTGTAAAGGTTTACAGCCTTTGAAACCCTGTGGGCAGGTCTGCTGTGTCCTACAAGGTCACTATCAGTCAGAATGACTAGATGGCAGTGGGTTAGAGAGGTCAGGAGGGGAGGCACCAACATTTCTTCCTCTCTCTCTCCTCTCTAGTTACTGGGTTAGTTTTCCCCTGGAGCATGAACTTTTTAGTTGTTTCCATTAAAAACACTAGAAACAAAATGCCAACATTACACAAGTACTGTTTTCCTTTTCTTTTTTTCCTTTTACTAACCTTGCCCTCTCCTATTCCTTGAGAAAAAAATGAGCTGTACTCAATTTTTTTTTTTTTTTGGAGAGACTGATCAAATCTTTTGTGTAAAATGCTCTGCTCTCCCTTGGACCCTGAAATGTCCCCTTTGCCCTCCTTGGCATCCAGAAAATGAGTGACTGCCGAGGCTGCCCTGCTTGGGCCGATAACTACCTGCAGAAGACAGTGCAGTACCACGTGGGCTTCCCTTTGAGCAGAGTCACCACAGTTTAACATTCTGAGTAATTGTTAGGTTTCACTAAGGAGAGGCAATGCCCCCTTCCTCAGCCTCACCCACCATCCTCGCTTTCTCCAATCTTCCCAGTTTAACAACTCAGCCCTGTCCGGGATCCTGACATCCCCACAAACTTTAAAACATTTGATTGGCATGGTTTTACAATAAAGTCAATCCTTCTTCTGGAGGAGTGATAAAGGACAAAGATGAGCACAGAGTGAGATACACATGCACATAGATATATCTATATATGCTCACCCATATACACATATATGCATAACTGTACATTTGTATGTATACAAACATACACATGTGTCCACATTCCTGTTATTAAGTTGTTGTTGCACAGTTGTATATGTCCTAGCATTTACTAAAAATACCTTTTTTCTTGTGTACTTCTTAGTGATATCATTTACCATAGTCAAATTGTACACACTTCACCCATATTTGGTGTTATATTTCCCATCCCCCAAAATAACAAGTGTCTGCTATCTAGGGAGTGATCTCCTACCCTACCCTCCAGCTATCCCTGGTAACCACTTGTGAACATTGGTTTCGGTGTATATACCTATTCTTGTCTTTGTATAACAATGAGATCATATAGTATTTGTCCTTTTCTGATTGACTTATTTCACTCAGCATAATGTCCTCCAGTTTCATCCATGCTATATAATATATTTTTAGAACTTGAGGTAGTTAGGTTGTCTATCAACTTGGCTGGGCCATGGTTTTGAGTGGCTGCGCAGCTGGTTGTTGTTATTCCCCGTGATAAGGTTGGTAATCAACTCCATGGTGAAATCTGCTGTGAGCAGCTATTAGTTGCCTTTGGGATGTGGCCTGATTCCAGTACATAAGGACACACTTTGAGAAAGGTGTTGAGCTTTTTGGCATCCTTGGATCCCACATTTGGCTGAGTCTTCATTCAGCAGCTTGTCCTGTTGCCTGCCGATCTTGGGACTGTTTCTGGACTTGAACTAGTGGCCTGCTGTGTAGCTTGATAATCTTGGGACTGTGCCATTTAACTTGTCAACCCTGGGTTTGTCAGCCTCGGCAGCTGGCAGCTGCCTGAGTTAAGAGACGCCAACAACTCCAGTGGGCCAGGAGCAAGAGGCAGAGCTGAAGCCCAAGGTCAGAATGCCTTCATCCATCCCCTAGAGCTGGCACTTTGATCTTGGACTTCTAGCCTCCTAAACTATAAGAGAATAAATCCCTGTTTGTTAAAACCATACATTTGTGCTATGTCTCTTACATCAGTGCTAGAGAACCAAAACAGAACTCATTATTCTCTATGGCTACATAGTATTCCATTGTGTATATGGTCTACATTTTGTTTGTCCATTCTTCCGTTGATAGGCACTTATATTGTTTCCATCTTTTTGCTATTGTGAATAGTGCTTCAATGAACATAGGTGTGTAGTGCAGTGAATTACTGAATATGGATCTCTGGTAGCAGTGCCTAAGGCATCTGACTGCTAACCAGAAGGTTGATGGTTCAAACCCACCAACACGGAAGCAAGACTGGGCAATCTACTTCCATAAAGATTTACCACCTCAGAAACCCAATGGGGGTCACTATGAGTCTGAATCAATTCGACGGCAGTGGGTTTGGTTTATTTATTTATTTATTTTTACATAGTCCTTGTAACTCCCACAAAATGATTGGGAGAGACTATGCAAATACAGCGCTTGTGGCCCACCCAGTGCTTTGGACAATTTGCTAGTAATACAAATAAAGTATATGGTACACTTGTGGGAGTGAGACTATGCAAATAAAATGTATGAAACCCTAATGAGGGGACTAGTCAGTTTGACAGCCTGCTAGGCTTAAAAGAGAGCTAATCCCAGAGCAGAGGGGGCACCTCACAACCACCAAGAAAGAACTGCCAGGAGCGGATCACGTCCTTTGGACCCAGGATCCCTGCACTGAGAACCTCCTAGACCCAGGAGACAGAGCGAGGGAGCTGGAACAGGAAAGACAGCAACAGATGGCAGCACAAGACATCATCACCAGGAGACCCATATGAAATGGCTGTGGTGGGCTTCCGGGCCCACAGAGTAAGCTGCCAGCTTTTGGGCAGGAGGTGTGCGGGGAGAGTAGCATGCCTCCAGGACTTGTCGGAGCTAGATTTGCTAACAGAGATAGAGCTGGGCACCCTCAGCCACTGGTGCCGTGGGGTGCCTCAGGCACTTACTGGCAGATCGAAAAGAAGTTTGTAACACTTATTGCTCAAGCACCGCAGAGGCCAGGCCAAAGGGTTGAGAGAGCCAGAGAGAGACTTGCCTACAGGCAGGGATGAGAAGAGACTGCCCTGACCAAAAATCTTTCCTGAGTTGTTTCTGATTCTGAATTGTAACCTGTTACTTCTCTAATAAACCCCATAATCATGAGTATTGTCTGTGAGTTCTATGTAGCCACTGCAATGAACTATCAAACCCAGAAGAGAAAGAGTGTGCAGTGAGAGGGACAGCTGGTGTCAGAATTGGTCAGTTGGTTGGAAGGTGAAGACCTGTGTGAACTGTACCTCATAGGAATCAGCCTTAGGCTGTTAATCTTGATCCTCCTCCCCCTGATTTGCATGGTCCCACCCAGTGATCCCAGTAACCCACTGTACCACAACAGGTTTTGTAGGAGTATTAAGAAGAAGAGAGATCATAGCCTGTCAGATTTAGAAAGGATGTCCAAATAGTAATGGGACTAAAGGGTAGCATAATTTAGCAGATCCTCATTTATGAATCTGCTATTGACCCGGATAATAGAAAAGTATAGTTAACAGTAATTGCTGTTATGCAACAAGCACACTGGAACACACAGTGTCTACTGTAGTTGTGTATGCAAATGGACATTGTGCAATATCAATGTTTATCTTGTTTCTTTACATTTTATAAGTTAGATCCTTCCAAGTGCCTGCAATGTAGACAAAAAGGATAAAGGTAAAGGTTCTTTGTTGTTATCTGATAAAAGAGATTACTGGTAAAACCTGTTTATCCTCTATTTTTTTATTCTCATCCAAATAACTGTCCCGCAACAGTCACGTGCAAGTCTTGCCTGCTTCAGTACACACAAAGATAGTAATCACTGTCAGCCATGTCATCTTCAAATATAAAGGAAAATATTATATACAGTTCATCTTGGTCAAGGTGGAGGAAAGATCCTGAAAATTTTTAGTCTCTGAAACCAGAAGAATATTAAGAGCCCAGACATTGGAGCTAAACATAGTTCATTTTAAGTCTCAGTTTTCTCCTCTGGAAAATAGAGCAACAATATCAACTTCACTGGATCATGAAGATTAAATGAGGTGATCATTGCAGAGTGCCATTGCAGGGCCAGCACATACTACACTAATAAATTAGAGCTATTGATATGAGCTATTAATATTTACTTGGATCCACAATCAACCCCCATGGAAGCAGCAATCCAGAAATCAAACGGCGTATTGCATTGGGCAAATCTGTGGCAAAAGACCTCTTTCAAGTGTGAAAGAGCAAAGATATCACTTTGAGGACTGACGTGCACCTGCCCCAAGCCATGGTGTGTTCAATTACTCATATGCATGAGAAAGCTAGACAACGAATAAGGACGACTGAAGAAAAACTGATGCCTTTGAATTGTGGTGTTGGTGAAGAATACTGAATATACCATGGGCTTCAGGAAGAACAAACAAATCAGTCTTGGAAGAAGTACAGCCAGAATGCTCCTTCGAAGCAGCGATGACAAGACTTCATCTCACATACTCTGGTCATTTTATAAGGAGGGACTAGTTCCTGGAGAAGGACATTGTTCTGGTTACCTAGTGCAGCTCTGACAAGGATATACCACAAATGGGATGGCCTTAACAAACAGGAGTTTATTCTCTTACAGTTTGGAGGCTCTAAGTCCAAGTTC